GAGCGATGGTTACTCCGGACAACAGCTTGTTCAATTCCTCGTCATTTCGGATAGCCAACTGTAAATGTCTTGGAATGATTCTGGATTTCTTGTTGTCACGGGCAGCGTTACCAGCCAACTCGAGAACTTCAGCAGCCAAATATTCCAAAACAGCGGCTAAGTAGACTGGGGCACCAGCTCCGACTCGCTCGGCATAGTTTCCCTTTCTCAACAGACGGTGGATACGACCGACAGGGAACTGTAATCCAGCCCGGGATGATCGGGTCTTGCTCTTTCCCTTTACTTTTCCTCCTTTTCCTCGTCCAGACATGATGTGAATTTAGTTAGTGAGACGGTGTCGTCGTGCGAAAGTCTAGTAACTGAATGAAGCGAACGCGACGACTAAAAACACTATTTATACTCGAAAATGGAGTCGAAAACTACGGTGCTCACTATCAAGTCCGCGCTATTTCACGAGAAAAGCTTTCGATCCTATTTTTCGACTCCATTTTCGAGTATAAAAGGAAAATTTCGCGCGTGTTCACCATTGCCAAAGAAAGTCTGAGTCTGGAGGATATCGAGCCTGTAGAATACTCCTATTCGGAGTTCTGCAGTATCGTATCTTCTAGGATCAACCAGAAATGGTCTGACATGTTACGGAACCTCGACACCGCAAGATACCAGATTGATCCGAAGATACCAAACCAAACCAAACCAAACCATCCATGTGTAGCCATCTGCAAAGTGGCAACCAGACTCCGGACCAACAACGTACTACGAGACCATCAGTTCAACGCCATTAAATGTCGCTGCGGCCACGTTGCCACAAGGTCACATATCCTCATTCAATGCACTGAATTGAAACCCGCTCGTAAGCCACTACTAGAGTACCTGGAAACCAACGGCATACCACTAACCATACAGAATGTTTTGGCTCCACCCACGGACCACTGGTATACGATAATGGAACTAGTCTTCCATTTTATAACCAAATCTGTCTTGAACAGATAGGCTAAGATTTTTTTTTTTTATCAAAGTTTCTTAACACTTTTTAATTATATCCAATCACTTTAACAAGTTTCATCGCAGAAACATTAGAGAACATCTCTCCCCCCTTTTGTGAAAGCTTCCCCCCCCCCTCTTTCCTCCCTCTTTTTCTCACTTTCTTTTTTTTTTCTTTTTTTTTCAGGTCTTCGAGTTTTCCAACAGATAACAGATAATCTAACCAAACCAAACCAAACCAACGACTACCATTCGACTACCAATCAACAAGAAATACCATGATCAGAACGAGTTTGGAAGAATGAAGGA